GCTAAGCCTCAAGACTATAGCCCCTGACAAGCACCGGAAGTATAGCTTCTCTCTGATGTGAAGTGTGGAACTCTAGGCTTAAATGGCTGTGTGTCAATTTATGATACAATGATATATGACCTTTAATACAATAATGTCCATAAGCATATAGAACACATAACAATCATTCTTCTATATAAGTTTCAGCCATGAACATTGACAAAGGTGCCTCAAACGGTCAGTGATATTTCTTCTAGCTAATATAAAAAGTTTAAAACAAAAAACACATTTTGCCTGTGGATAAAAATTATGGATAAGCACCAAAAACAATTTTCTTAGATAAACAGTATTTTATAATTTTAAAAATAACCTTTCCACATTAGTTGATACAATCTATTTTTTTTCTTTTTGTTATTTTAATTTTCATTATACAGCAAAAGAGTCACTGCCATAGCTTTAGACACACACACACACACACACACACACACACACACTTTCAACCATCCACCCATAGTATGGTGGTTAGAACGTTATCAAGGGCCCAAGGGAATCAAGTTAGGAAGCTGGCCCATAGCACCTCTAAAAAAAACATGGCTCATTAAGCTATCATCCATCTGGAAATCACAGCCATCCAGAGTCTGGTTCTCAGCATAACAAGTCTGGAGACATAGCTTAGTCAAAAATACACAGTTGAACATAGCTTTGTCAAAAATACACAGTTGAACAGACTCAAGAGAACTAACTCATGTTAACAACTCAGAAGAGGCTGAAGTACAAGTCAGAATACAAATTTATTAATTAATCATAAAGAATATTCCTTTTCACTAATCAGAAAATTTGCACCTGAAGCCAGGATGCTACTTCCCCAATGCTAGGATACCTGGAATCCTAAATTAATAATCAATCCACCGGAAGTTAGAACAAATAGTGATAGAGAGTTCGGTGGATACCTAATGAATTATCTATATCCAACATACACCTTTCTAGTGATCAAAGTTGTGGCTTTCATGTGTAGAGTCTCTTTCCTTCCCTTGGATACCATTGCCCCGACACTACAGACTTCTTGGTCTCTAAGCTTTCTTCTTCCACATCCTTCTCTCCATCAAGTATTTTTCTAGATAGGGTATTAATACAACTGATGATATGAACCTCACATGCATTATTATCCGTATTTTTCAGATTAACAACTCCCAGATAGGGCTTCCCTGGTGGCGCAGTGGTTAAGAGTCCGCCTGCCGATGCAAGGAACGCGGGTTCGTGCCCCGGTCTAGGAGGATCCCACATGCCGCAGAACGGCTGGGCCCGTGAGCCAAGGCCGTTGAGCCTGCGCGTCCAGAGCCTGTGCTCCGCAACGGGAGAGGCCACAACAGTGAGAGGCCCCCATACCGAAAAAAGAAAAAAAAAAAATCCCAGATAAAGCTGCTTAAGCAACTTGCCCAAGGTTACAGCTAGTTTAAGGCAGAGCACAGATTCAAAGCCTACACTTTTAACCTTGCAGTAAATGACACCTTCAAGGTGTCTTTCCCAGGGCCTCGCACCTTCCAATTTGATTTAAATGACCCTCTTCAGTATTCCAATAACACCCTAAGCACACAATGACTATAATTTCTGGTACACAGGTCTATCTCTCTCACTACACTGAAACTTTCTGAGAACAGGAATCATGTCTCATTCACCTCTGTATCCCTAGTGTGCTATCTATTTACCTAGGTAAATATGCAAACTAATTTGTCCACTGGTTTAATATAAAGCTTATGAAACTGAAGGCCTTGAATAAGCTATGCAGTCTAAGGAAGGTCACAACTTCTCCTGCCATCAATAAACATCTCATCTAAAAAACAGGATGAAATAGATATACAAGGTGGCTTAGGTTCCTTCTGTATCTAAAAGCACTACCATGGGTCCTGATTTTTAATAGCCTATCTTATTAGTTTGAATTATTAGAAACAAAATTAAATTCCTCATCATCTTCCATACCACACTACTACTACTCTCTACATATATGTGTATGTAGAGAGTTCAGAAAAAGCTTCCTCTTTTCTGAAAGGTGAGAACTATCATCTACACCAAAATCAAACAGTGGCACCCTCCTCTGGTGAATATTAAAGAAGCTAAACAACACAGAAGACAAGAATTAGATGGTCGGATTTTCTTTGAATGAAAGAAAAAGGAAGAGAGAAATACCTAAGATTATTTGTCATCACATTCCCAATAGCAATTAAATAGCTCTTTTTTATAACTCCTTACTTTGCCCTAAAACAAAGCCAAAATGAATGAACTGGCTATGCACTGTAGGATGTTATAGACAGAACAATTGTTCTTTATTTCAGGGTACTGATAATATTATTTTGCAAACAGCAAGCTTTTTAATATAAAGCACAATGAAACTCATTTCATAGTTTAGCTAATAATGATGATCTCTTTTATTATTTAAAAATTTAACGAAAAGCCCTATACATGTAAACTATTTCTAGTTAAATAAAAGCATTTCGCATGTCCCTTTTCTGAATGGTACATTTGCCAGAAGATAATACTGGAAAATTTTCAACCTGAAATCTGTTGGAGTCTTCAATATTCACGTTTTAGAATATCAGCTTAGAAGAAAATTTAAAAATACTCATTCACTTACATGTGCAGGCTCAAAACATGCCAATGCAGCACACCCAGATAAGCACACCCCAGAGTTTCACAACATTAACACTACATCCATACCTTTAAGTTAAGAATAAAACTGTACTTTCTAACACAAGAATCAGATCATCATCTGCCAACAATTTTAATATAAAGTATATAATAAATATAAGCTTTATTAAATGATTTACAACAGTCAAGGCACATAAAATGAAAATATAGACATTCTGACTCAGACCAGGAAACAAATCAGCCATCATATTGGCAACCTTATCTTTCAGATATGTTTTTTACCCAAATACACAGCGTCCCTTCCCTCAATTAACTTCACATCTTTCACCTACCCAAGGGGCAAGGAAAGAACCCCATACTACACAAGAGGCTACAAATTTACAATCAGTGAGAAAGCTTCGTTTTGAAACACAGCATATAGAAAGGGCTAGGGTGGATGGAAGATAGCAAAAACTGATTTCAGCTCTACCAAATAAATTTTCCAATCAAGTTTGCCATTCCTGGCAAAGTTGGTTCTACCAGGTAGGTACATACAGTATGTGGGAAAGATTAGCAGAGGGTTGGGTGAAGTGACCTTGTATCAAAGAGAGAATGCAGTTAAGATACCCAGTTGAGAGCGTTCTCAATGTTCACCCAAAACAAAGGCCAAAGAACAAGCCTGAAAGAGAATGATATCCCCTACAGCCCACCCAGAGACCAGAAGCGGCAAGAGAATTGAGGGGGAAAAGTTGGATGGGAGGAGGGGGCGGGGGGAGGAGGAAATGATGAAGAAGGGGTGGTGAAGCGGAGGTGCGGGGAGTAAGAAAGTATGCTTTAAAAAAAAAAAAAAGTATGCAGCAATGAAACTCTTTTCCAAACTGCCAAGTTTAGAGAGATGGGGTGGCTGGCCTGCTACTCTCTGGAGCACCGCTCTGGAGCCACATTTGCCACTCACTTCGCCTGGGCCGATGCCCAAGGACCAAAGCCAACTCTCGCCCTGACCTCCAGGAAATCTGAGCCCCGACAAGCAATCAGGGTGCCGCAGAAATGCGGGAGAGGGACGTGAACCGGCCTCTAACCTCATCTCTTGCTCCCACATGAACCCCAAATAAAGGAATTTAGAAGCAGGGAGACGTCTGCGTCCCACGCCGGCCAGGGCGCAGGGGCAAGATCTGGGCACCGCTACCTCTGCGGGGATTGCCACCTCTGCAAAGGCCAGAGGCATCTCGGTCCCGTGCCTCGATCCAGCTAAAAGCAGGCGGCCAGCAAAGCGCTGCTGTCAAGTGGCCGGATTGCACTTGTAAAGTTAATGGAATTAGGAAGAAGCCCAGCGCTGCCCCTCGGGTTCCTCCTCAGGGCGAAAGAGCTGGAAAGGAGTCAGAGTTTCCTTCATGCTTACTAAGTCCTCACTGATTCGGCTCTGCAGATTTTATCTTTTCCTAACGACAATCAAAGATTTCTTCCTTCTTTGCGCCTAGCTCGGCCTCAAACCCCATAACAGGGGCGCTGAGGCCCTGGGCCAAAGTTCACTGTAGAAACCACTAACTCTCCCAGCAAAACTAACACAGTCATTTGCTGGACTCTGGCCTTGGGAAACCTCATAAATTATGAGGCATGAAATAGGTTATGGATGACCCTTCCTCCCCCACACTGGACCCTCAGTACAAGAGGTCTGGATCCCGCGGTGTTTCTGGCAACTTGGCCACGTTTGGAACTAGTGGCTTTGTCCAGCCCGACACCAGGTCATCACCACGCCCCTCGCACACAGGTGCTACCCGACACGCCCACCACGTCCTGTTGTTTACACATACACAAACACACACACACACTCAAAGCCCCAGAGAACTCCTACCTCGCCCCCGTGCCCGTCGAAGATCCCGAAGATGGACGGATGCGTCTTATTGGCTAGGTCCGTAAGAACTTCAAAGCGGTCCTCCATGTGGTCTCTCCGGCCCTGGATGGAATACACGGCCACATTGTGGCTCTTGAACTCCCAGGTCTTGGAAAACTCGGCCTCCAGCACATCGAGCCCTCCCAGTCGGTCGTTCTGCATGATCTCGGCCACCTTGCCCTTCACCATCTTCACGGCGTCCCGGCTGGACTTGACGATGGTCTTCACCTCATCCGTGTGGAAGAAGTAACTCCACAGCGCCAAGCTGATGCACAGCAGGAAGAGCGTCTCAGGTCTCAGCAAGAAGTAGCGCATGATGCGACCCAGTAGAGACAGCAAAGTCATTGTATCCTCTATCATTTATTATCGCTAGAGCCCCAACCACCAGCAGCGACGCGCGCCCCGAAAGCTCGCCGGGTCCCGGAGCACTGCGGGGAAAGCCCGCGGGGAGGGAGGCGGAGCAGCAGCCGAGGGTTAGGGGGAGGAGGCTCACGGAGCCGGGCGGAAGATGGACAAGCAGGCAGCTCCGAGCCCGCACGGTGAACAGAGGCAGTTTCCCTTTTGTTTCACGGCCTCTGCGGCCCGAAGGCCCGCGCCCAGCACACCGACGTCTGAGCCAGCCGCCCGCGCCGCCTCCCCTCCCTACACCCCTTTGTGAGGCGGCGGCTGCCGAGACGCCGGCGGTGGCAGCAGCAGTCGCGGGTGCCGGGGCTGGACGAGAGAAATCAAGTTAAAGTTGCGCCGGGCGGGTCTGCCGCGGTGGGCGGGAGAGTTCCGGGGCGCTGGCGCCCCCGCGGCGCCTCCGCGGGTGCCCGCTCGCTGCTCCGGGGAGCGATCGGCAGGTGAAGAGGCGCGAGGCGCTAGAGCCCCGCGGGTGAGAGATGCACGTCCCCTTGGTCGCCGCCGCAGGGGAGCGCAGAGCGGGCCGAGCTCTCCGAGTCCTTCAGACACCCAGGGGGCCCTAGAGAATAAAAGTTTTGCGGGAGCCTGGGCAGAGGCGGGGGTGCGCGGAGCCCGGGGACGCAGCACGATCGGCGCGGAGCCGCAGGCGGCCGGCCGGGCTCTGCCTGCCTCACCGCAGCACCTCCTTGCTCCGCTCCGCTCGGCTCTGCTGGGCTCGGGCGCTCCCTCCTAGCGCCGCCGCTCGCACTCGCCCCGCCCAGTGCTCGCTCGCCCCGCCTCGCCCCGCCCCTTGAGCCGGGACTCGAGGCCCGGAGGTGCTCGGGCCGAGCTGTCAAAGGCCGAGGCAAATCGGCGGCGGCTGGCGCGCTTGCAACTGCGGGCGGTCCGGACGAACCGAGGGGGGAGGGAAGGGGCGCGTCTGCAGCCGAGCTCGAGTGGATGGTATTGTCTGCCTCTTGTGAGAGCTCTCAGAACAATATAATACTGACCCTGGTAGGCTGATCGGTGGTTTCGCGGGATCCACTGCTACCGGCTGGAAAACAGAGGACCGCACGTGAGCGTCCCCCCCTCCGGCTGGCGGCACGGTAGTGCGGTCTCCGCCTCGCCCGGCATAAGGCAAGCGAGAAGGGACGCACTTCTCCTGGCTCGCAAAGCGAGGCAGAGAGCTCGGACCTTTGGTTTTCTGGGACAGAGGCCTGCCGGAATCTCCCGAGAGGCTGAGAGCGAGCGTCGGGCCTAAAAACCTCGCGACGAGAAAAGGCCTCCCGAGGGCAGCGGGATGTGAGGACTCAGAGCCACGTGGAAATGCGCTCTGATGATAACCTCGGGAGCGATGACGCTGGGCTGGCCTCTCTGCGAGCTACACGCCCCTGGAGCGGGGACATAGCCACGAAGGCTTTCCCGGGTCGCACCCCTTCCATAGAGAGACACGGAGCCTCCTAGTGGAGCCCTCGGGCGCTCCTGACCCTGCGGCGGGGCTAGGGCTCCGACTCCGCTGTTCAGGTTTGCAGGTCCCTTTGAAACTTCGAACTAGCGGCCTCCTACCACCTCCTCAGTCACCGCAGGAGAAGGTGAAATGGGGGCAGGAGTCTTTAGTTAAGCAGAAGTAAATGGGCTTCCAGAAGCCATCAAGGATAACTTGTTGAAGCATGGGGCAGGTGTCGGTGGCCTTGAAGATGCTGGGGAAAAAAGAGAAGAATGTACAAATCAGCTTAGAATACGGGAACAAGTGAGCTTTAAAGGAAAATATTCACTCTTGCTACCCCTGTCCAGGAAGAAGAGTGCTGATCTGCAGCTTCCAGTTCACTAGACTCGAGAATAGAGGCTGCCTGATTCCCAGCCCAGCCAGAGGCTGTCTCCCCAAACATTCCTGCTTTGGAGTGATCCCGACTAAGTTTTAAAAAAAAATAAATTAAATTAAAAGGAGTAAAACACTGGAAGGAAATACACCAAGATGTTAACGATGGTTAACTACAGTAATAAACTGTATGTTTTCTGGTTTTCATTTTCTGATTTGAGCTTTTATCTATTTTATACAACTTTTCCAAAGTTTTTACAAAAGTCATAGATTGCCATCTTAACCAGAAAAAAAGAGAAAACTTTGACATTTAAATGGCATGTACAATATGATCTCAATTATATACATAGGCATAGAAAAGGAAGGAAATGTGAAGAACTGTTAACAGTGTGTTATTTTTGACAACTAAGATACGGTCTCCTGTTCTACTTTGCACTTTCTGGTATTTTCCACCTGGTAAATAGAGAAAATAAGTAGTTTAGAAATAAATGAGATCGGGACTTTCCAGGTGGGGCAGTGGTTAAGAATCCACCTGCTAATGCAGGGTACATGGGTTCGAGCCGCTGGTCTGGGAAGATCACACATGCCACGGAACAACTAAGCCCATGTGCTAAGCCACAGCTAAGCCAACTAAGCCACAACTACTGAGCCTGCACTCTAGAGCCTGTGAGCCACACTACTGAGCCCGCAAGGCGCAACTACTGAAGCCCGCGGGCCTAGAGCCCTTGCTCTGCAACAAGAAGCCACCGCGATGAGAAGCCCGCGCACCCCAACGAAGAGTAGCCCCTGCTCGCCACAACTAGAGAAAGCCAGCACGCAACAATGAAGACCCAATGCAGTCAAAAATAAATTAATTTTAATAAAAAGATTGCCCCTTCGTTTAAAAACAAAACAAAACAATAAACAAATGAGATCATTCTGTTCAAAAGTCGTTACGTGATGAGGTTCCAAAATGAGCTAATGAATTCAAAGGTTAGGAACTATAAAGCAAAGTAATGCATTAGTGTTATTATGAAGATAAGTTTATGATATTTCTTACTGTAAATTAGCAAATGGATTTAGGGTGCATTATCAGTCTCTCTGTACATGAATCTGTTTCTCTGTGGCAAAGGCAACTTGCAGATAAGCTGATCAAGACTTCAAAACTACAAGTCAAACCAGGCCCTGGGGTAGAAAAATTCCAAACCTAGGGGTCAATCCAGCCTGTCCACAACATTACTGCATTGATGATAGCAGCGAATATTCATGAGAGGTATGACTTCTGTTTCTTCCATACCTAAATAAAGAAGAGAAAGGACCATACTGGTCTCTAGAGGTTAAATAACAAAAGGAGGGCTTGACTTGATTAATAAATCTAGATATCCTGCAGATTCTGTGGAGATTTACTTTGACATTTACATCTAAATAGTTCATTTGTGTGAAAATCAATAAAATGATTTTTCAAGCAGACCCTATAGGCATTTTCTTATTTCTATTAAGAAATTAATCTAGTTTCATAGTGATTTCTTAAACACCCTAAATGAGCTTTTTGTTATAGTTTACTGTGAATTTTTTTAATCTTTATAAATCCATTGTTTATTGTATGACAGAACTGAGACCCTTTAGGAAATTATTATTTGAACCTTAGGTCTTTTTTTTTCATTTTTATGGAGTATAGTTGATTTACAATGTTGTATTAGTTTCAGGTGTACAGCAAAGTGAATCAGTTATGCATATACATATATCCACTCTTTTTTAGATTCTTTTCCCATATAGGTCATTACAGAGTATTGAGTAGTGTTCCCTGTGCTATACAGTAGATCCTTATTAGTTACCTATTTTATATATAGTAGTGTGTATATGTCAATCCCAATCTCCCAATTTATTCCTCCCCCTGTAAATTTTAATATGTATGAGAAATAAAAAAGACCTTCCTCTAGTGACAAACATTTGCATATTCCTTGGGAGGGATTGTAAAGGTTTTTCATGTATATCAACTTATTTTCATTCTAATAACAATTCTATGAAGAAGACAGAGGAGCTATTATCTCTGTTTATAAATTCAGGGAAAGTGAGGCACAAAGATGTTAAATGATTATCATAATTCAGCATATATAAAGTTGGAATCTCAAACTCATTTCTTCTGACCACCAATTCAGTACCCTAACATCCATTGATTGCTCAATGACACTCAGATGATTAGTCTAATTTTTATACTTCTCTAGTAACATTTCAGTAGATCTCTGTTATAGAAATCTCAAAAAGAATACACGGGTTCTTTTTCCACAATTCTGACTTAAACCTTTGGGATAAGCATTGCACTATGAGTATTTACCTTACCCATCAAGGATATTTGCGGGGCAGAAGAAAAGTCCAAGTAAACTGTCCTTCATCTTGACGTAGAAGTCTAAAATATTTGTTGCTAAAGTAAAATGCTATCTGAATTTCAGAGGGAAGAAAAGAGTACCATAGAATGTACATTATGCAAATACTTTACCATTACAAGTGACATGGTAATGAACAGAGAGCTAATTGCAATCCTAGGCTTTCATGAGATACAATAATAGTGATAAATAGTTACCAGGTAATTACCATTTTCAACTATGCAATTAACTCATGTCAACCTTGCGAGCATATAAAAAACATAAAATATGGTGTATTTTCAGGAAAAATTTCAGAGTTGTAGCTCTTAGGTTCAAGAAATCTTTATAACACAGCTTGATAACAAATCTATGTTCTAGTGTGATGGTGATCCATGATGTCCTCATTTCTTTTTGTTTTTGCCACCTATTGCAAAGTTATAAAAATCAAATATGTCAGCTGAGCCTCTGAATGTAATAAAAATTCCCTGAAATAAATTTTAAATGAATCTTTTATATAGAGAGAAATTCTCTGCACATTTTAAAATTTCCCAATTACCAGTTTGATTTGTATTCTTAAATTGTTCCTGCCATCTGCATATAAATATGTACTGAGTATTAAGTAGGACTCTTACTATTAGTCTATCAATATACATCCATATATGTATAACCTTTTAAACTAGACATACAAAAGAGTGCATGAAAGTATTGTTATGAAGCACAACAACTATGAGTACTACACCCATAAAGCTGACCTAAAACTGGACTGTGACCAATCTTTGCACTAACCTAGGAGTTCTCTCCCTATCCCACCTCCCTACCTGTCCTCCACAGGTAGCTACTAGCCTGAGTTTTGCATTTTATCATCCTTTTGTCTTTTTAAAAATAATATCACATATGTCTGCATCCATAATTAATATATTTTTTTAGTTTTGCTTGGTTTTGAGCTTTATAAAAGGGTATCTTACTGTATATAGTCCTCTGGTACTTGTTTTTTCACTCAATGTTATATTTCTAGATCCTTCCATATAGTTCAAACATTTCACTGCTATATAATACTCCACCTTGTGACTGATCTATAATTTATGTATTCATCTTCTCTGGTCATTTGAGTTTCCAGTTTTTTGCTATTATGATCAATGATTTCATGAATTATTTTTGTACTATCTCTTGGTGCATATATGCAAAAGTTTCTCTAGGGTATATAGCCAAGAATTAAATTAATGGATAGTTGGGAATGAAAGTGTTCAACTTTACAATTTAGGGCCAAACTGTATTTGAAAATACATTGTTCCTGGGCTTCCCTGGTGGCACAGTGGTTAAGAATCCGCCTGCCAATGCAAGGGACATGGGTTTGAGCCCTGGTCTGGGAAGATCCCACAGGCCGCGGAGCAACTAAGCCCGTGCGCCACAACTACTGAGCCTGCACTCTAGAGCCTGCGCGCCTGGAGCCCGTGCTCTGCAACAAGAGAAGCCACCGCAGTGAGAAGCCCACGCACCACAACAAAGAGTAGCCCCCGCTCGCCGCAACTAGAGAAACCCAGCGTGCAGCAACAAAGACCCAACGCAGCCAAAAATAAAATAAAATAAATAATAATTTTTTTAAAAAAAGAAAGAAAGAAAATACATTGTTCCCATTCACATTCCCACCAACAGTGTGATCAAAGCTCCTTAATATAATATAAGGGACCATTACTATAAATTCTATCTTAAAAGTGATTTTCAAGATTGGTCCCTTTGGAAAATGGTTAACAATGATCATGACTATTAACCATTTTAAATATTCAGCGCTTCTCAAACAACCTTTCTAGATGCAAAATTTAAATGTTCTTTACAAAATGAATCTGTTTTAGAAGTACAACAAAGAAAATAAATCCATCATTTAAATAAGTATAATAATATGTCAATCTGGACTTATAATTTTAATCTTAGATGTTCTGTCAAATGGAACTAATGTGACAGACACCAGTCATGTGTAATATCATTTTATTTCACTGTTCTCCAAAAGCACAACATCCTTTTCTACAACCCAATTTTTTGTATTAATTACAGAGATATATTAAGGATACTTGTTTCCTGAATACTTGTTTTGTACCACTGCAC